CTCCAGCAAAGATCTGCAGCCTCGGAAACCCTATACAGGGTCACTATGACTGGATGGCGCTTAACGACAACCATACATGTAATCATCACACTATCACATCCACAACTACGTGAATATGTATGTTGTTGTTAAGTGCTGCCAAGTCGGTTCCTATTTATAGCGACCCTGTATAGGGTTTTGAGGAACGGCCGGTTAGTTTGAACTGCCGATCTGCTACGGCACAGTGCTTATCCTATAGCCCCACACACTCAACGAAACCACTGGGATTAAACACTGGATAAAAATATTCCGTGTTTTTCTCTAGACACAGATAAGGCACAATTTCATTATCTCATCTCATTTTATTGATTTACACTAAATATACATGGAACCAAAGCTCATTTTCTGTAACTTTAAAAAAACATTTATTATTTTAAACAGAGACACATCCTAGCTGATCATTGTTGTTGTTGTTAAGTGCCGTCGAGTCGGTTCCGACCCATAGCGACCCTGTACAGGGTTTCCGAGGGTGTAAATCCTTACGGGAGTAGAAAGCCTCATCTTTCTCCCGCGGAGCAACTGGTAGTTTCGAATCGCTGACCTTAAGGTTCGCAGCCCAATTTGTAACCACTACGCTACCAGAGCTCCTTTAGCTGATCATAGTAGAGAAAAAAAAGTGTAGCTGGTTTTGGTTTCAGGTTAAGTGATTTATAATTTTTGCTGCTGGTATTAAAACCAACCCAAAAGCCCAGAGAAACAATTAGCTTTCTGTGGAAGGCGTTTAAAAAACTTTAAAATGCCAAAGTAGTCGTGGGGCCTTTGAAGATAAAGAAATTGCTTACACACAGTATTTTATTTCATAGCAGCATTTGAATGCCTACTACATCTGACCACCAGGATCATGGTCTCGTCTTCCAGGAAGCACACCTTTCCTACATAAACTGAGCAACACTGGCTCCCAGCACAGCGAAGGGAAGGGGAGGACGCACCGTCGGCTCCGAGCCGCGCATGTGCAGCACCCACGCTCGCACCACCCCTCCCAACCACATTCTTCGAAAAACCGAGGTGCAAACTGCAGCAACTGCGCCTGCGGGGAAAGGAGGTGCTAGGGAGGGGTAGAATGGCGGCGAAGGAGGCGGGGGCGGAGTTGCGCGTGCGTAATGGGCCGACCGGCAGGAAGCCGGACACGCGGGGGCGGGGCGCCGCGGGACAGTCGGGGGCGGTGCTTATATTGCTACTGCTGCTGGTGCTGCCGCCGCCCCGCCGCCGCCAGTGCTACGGCTACCGCTGCCGCCGCCGCTGCGCGCTTTGTGCAGCAGGCGGGCCCCGGCGCGCGGCTGGGTCCTCTACTGGAGCCGCTCCCGGGTATGGTGAGCAAGGCGCTGCTGCGCCTGGTGTCTGCCATCAACCGCAGGAGGATGAAGCTGCTGCTAGTTATCGCCGTGGTCGCCTACGTTGCCTGTGAGTGCGAGCCCGAGGGGCCGTCCGGGAAGCCCTCATTCACTCGTCGCGGGGCGCCCGCGGCGGGGCCGGGGTCGGCGGGCGACCCCACTGTGTGGTGTGTGCACTCCCCCAGTGACAGCCATCTAGCTCCGGGTCTTCCTCTCAGCCTCCTGGAGCCTTCTCTTCTGCCCCGAGCTGTACCTGCCCATCGTGAGATCCCCTACGCCCTTCCCGGTTTCCCTCGCCACTTTTTACTCTTGCAAAGAAAAAAACCAACGGTAAACTTCGGGTCAGAGTTTCTGCACCGCGTAGGCCCCGTGAACTTGGGACACGGTGACCGCGACTCAGGAACTCCGGTGGTCCGAGGCTTCCGCCGTTCTGGGGCCAACCTTGTGCGCACGACGGCTCCAGCCTACTGCCTCGAAATTACCCTCCTCCCCCCGTTTCGCGTGCGATTCGGGCTGTTTCGGAGGTGTGCGCGACGGCAGCTTTGCTGTCACGGCGTGGGGTCTGGGCTGTGTGTGGGAGGCTACCCGCCTCCGTCTGGCTCCCGCGGTGCCGGCCACGTCGCCCTGGAGAGCGTGCGAGGTTCCCGGCTTGGCGATGCTGAAGTTGTTCAGCAAGTCGGTGCTCAGCCCTGGGGGACTCCTGGGCAGCCCTGGCTGCCTTGTTGATTAAATAGCATAAAAATACCGTGGCCGTTGGCAGAGCCCCGTGCTTTGACTGCTCCGCAGGAAAATTACTCAGCATTTAACTATTTTGGTATGAAATGTTAACCAGTATAGTGTGCCGAGATGCCTCCACGTGGACGCCGGTAGTGGACAGTGGTGCTTGGGGAAAGACATGGTGGCTTGTGGTAGAGCTAACCGGGGCTAGTGGTCGTGGTCGTGGTGGGGGTGCGGAGGGCTGTCTGGCGCACTGGTGGCGAAGCAGGAGGCCTAGAGCCTTGGGAGGAATCAGGGCGGAGCGAGAGCCCGTGGCTTTTAGTGTTTGTGGTTCTTTTTGTCATCACTTTATAGTCTGCTTCCTTGAGACAGTGCAGGAGCCGTGAGTGTGTGTGTGTGTGTGGGGGCTTTGAAAGCAGGTGGAATCTCTCCTTAGAGGAGGCAGAAACCATGTGTTGATATTTTAAAGGTTGATTCAATAGGAGTGTTTTAATTACTGCTATTAGTGCTGTAAGGAGCTCTGGTAGCGTAGTGGTTACGAATCGTGCTGCTAATCTGATAGTCAGCAGTTCGAAACTACCAGATGTTCCGCGGGAGAAAGATGAGGCTTTCTGCTCCCGTAAAGATTTACAGCCTCGGAAACCCTATACACGGTCGATATGAGTCGAAACCGACTCCAGACGCACAACAACAACAACAATTAGTACTGTGGGGACCGCAGTGGCTCCATACAGTAAGCACTAGACTGCTAACCACAAGGTCCGCCGTGTGAACCCTCTAGCCGCTGCGTGGGTGAAAGATGAGGCTTTCTGCTCTTGCCAAAAAGAGGAGGCAGAAACCATGTGTTGATACTTTAAAGACTGATTCAATAGGACTGTTTTAATTGCTGCTATTAGTACTGTAAGGAGCTCTGGTAGCGTAGTGGTTACGAATCGGGCTGCTAATAGCATGGTCAGCAGTTCGAAACTACCAGCTGTTCCGGGGGAGAAAGATGAGGCTTTCCGCTTTAGTAAAAATTTACAGCCTCAGAAACCCTATACAGGGTCGCTATGAGTCTGAACTGACTCCACAGCACCTCACAACAAAAACAACCAATACTGTACCAAGTAGAAAATTGCACTAGAAATAGCTCTCAGTGTGATCTCCATTTAAATCCTAACCATTACAAACTGAAAAATCACCTGCTAATTTGAGAGTTACTAAAACTAGATTATTGAAGTTAATGGTGACTTGGAAAAGTAACCTTAGTTGATCTCTAGGAAGATAGTTGTGAATAAGACCAGCTTGTGTGGTACGGTCTCCCAGAAGGTGGCCAGGGGTAGCTCAAGTCGGGCTCCTGGTTAAAGGGTTTAGATATGACTAGTTTGGGAAAGGAGGAAGACCTAGTTTGAAGTGTGTATAGCTAATCTGGAGTAAAGTGGGAGTACACAAAGGAGAATGCTGATATTCTTAGAAATAGACACATTTATATGTAGTAAGTTCTAGAGTCAAGCAAACCTGAGTTCAAATCCTGACTCCACTTTAAGGGCCTACTGTGAGTCCTGGTGAGGGGTTGTAGGTTAATGCACCACACTGCAAAGCCATTTGAACTGCAAGGTTGGCAGTTCAAGCTCACCAGCTGCTCTTCGGAAACCTTATATAGGGTCTCTATGGGTTGGAACCGACTCCATGGCACTTAACAACAACATGAGGCTGAATTACAATAGGTGAGGCACTTAGCACGGCGCTTGCTTGGCACAAAGCAAGCATCTAGTAAATGTATCTGTGGTTAGATGGATCTTGAAGGCTGAAAACAGAGAATACTAGAAAGATGTTTGTTGTTGTTAAGTGAGACTCCAAGTGACACTGTATAGGATTTCTAAGGCTATAAGCATGTACAGAAGGAGAAAGCTGCTTCTTTCACCCTCAGAGTGCCTAGTGGGCTCAAACCTAACCTTGTGATTATTAGTCCAGTGCTTATTTTACAGAGCCACCGGTTCCTGAAAGGTGTTTTCTATGCTTTGTTGACTATGCAAAGGTATTTGACTCTGTGGATCATAACAAACTGTGGATAACATTGCCAAGATTGGGGCTTTCAGAATACTTCATAGTGCTCATAAAGAACCTGTACATAGAACAAGAAGCAGTTGTTTGAACAGAACAAAGGGATACTGAGTGGTTTAAAATCAGGGAAGGTGTCCATTAAGGTTGTAGTCTTTCACCATATTTAGTCAGTTTGCTGAGTAAACACTCTGAGAAGCTAGATTATGTGAAGAAGAATGTGGTAACAGCATTGGAGAAATTCTCAACAGTGTGCAGTATGTTGATGATCCGACCTTGCTTGCTGGAGGGAAGAGAACTTGAAGTACTTATTGGTGAAGATCAAAGGCTACAGCCTTCAGTATGGTTGGTACAGTGCAATGAAGGAAAACCTTTACAACTGGACCAATAAATAACATCATGACAAAGAAAAGATTGAAGTTGTTAAATATTTCATTTTACTTGAATTTACACTTAGTGCTTATGGAAGTAGTAGCAGTAAAGAAATCAAATGACGGATGTATTGTATTAGACAAATCTGCTGCACAAACCCTCTTTAAAGTGTTTAGTCTTGTGAAGGTATCACTTTGAGAGGACTAAGGTATACCCGACCCAAGCCAGAGTGTTTACAGTTGCCTCATATGCAGAAGGTAGCTGGACAGTGAATAAGGAAGACTGTAGAGGAATCAGTGCAGTTGAATTATGGTGTTGGGAAAGAATACTGACTGCCATGGACTGCCAGAAGATGAAACAAATTTGTTTTGGAAGAAATACTGCCAAATTGCTTCTTAGAAGCAGTGATGATGAAACTTTGTCTTTCTTTCTTCGGACATGTTATCAGGAAGGACCAGTGCCTGGAAAAGAACATCATGCTTGGTAAAGTCATCAAAAAAAATAAATAAATAAAAAATTAAGACCCCCTCCAATGAGAAGGCTTGACATAGTGGCAGCAAGATTTTTTGTTGCTTTTAATTTTTTGATACAGTTATTATTGAGGGCAGTGCTAGAATTTTCCCGTTTCATGCAGGAGCCCTTTGCATCCGATGGGTAGCCACTACCCATCTGTCTGTGGAGACTTACTTGTTGCTAGTGCTGGTGTGGCACTGTGGGATAAAACACTGGACCGCAAGATCAGTTAGAACTGCAAGGTTGGAGGTTCAAACTCACCAGCCGCTCCTCAGAAACCTTATACAGGGCATTACTAGTTGGAATTGACTCTATGGCACTTAACAACAACAGTGATGCTGAATGGGTTTCAAGAGCTTCCAGAATAAAATGAACCAGGAAGGAAGACTTGGTGATCTACTTCCCAAAACCAGCCCAGTGCAAACCCTATGAATCTTAGCAGTCTGATATGCAGGCGCTGTGGGTTAATGTGCCAGACTGCAAAGTCGTTTGAACTGCAAGGTCTGTGGTTCAGGCTTACCAGCTTCTCCTCGGAAACCCTATACAGGGTCGCTATGGGTCAGAATCAACTTGACGGCACTTAACAACAAACAACAACAACAGCATGGGGACTGCTCAGGATTGAGCTGCATTCTGTCCTTTTGTGCATGGGGTTACTATGAGTCAGGGCTGACTGGAGAACAACAGTGGTTATTAATAATTCTTTTCTTCAATGGACTTTACAGTCCCTCCCCCACCCCCAGCATTTTATTGCCAAAAAAAAAAAGATGAGACCCAAGAGTAAAGCAACTTAAAGCTGAATAATCATTTTGAGAATAAACAAAAAATACCCACTGCCGTAAGTGGATCCCAACTCAGATGCCCTATATCGGGTTTATGGGAGCAGAGAGCCTCATCTTTCTCCCTCAGAACCACTGGTAAATTTGCACTGCTGACATTGTGGTTAGCAGTCCAGTGCTTATCCTACAGTGTCACCCTGGCTCGTTTTTATTATGACAGTTGTGTGTTTGTTAAGTTCTGTCAAGTCAGTTCTGACTCACATCCTGTGTAGGGTTTCCAAGGAGCAGTTGGTGGGTTTGAACTGCCGATCTTGCTGTGTAGCGCTTATGCCACAGTACCACACTGATACCTACATTTGTTAAATGTCTACCAGGTATATATCTATAATCATAATGATGTTGTTGTTGTTAAGGGCCGCCAAGTCAGTTCTGACCCATAGTGACCCTGTTTAGGGTTTCTGAGGAGCGAGCGGTTGGTGAGTTTGAACTACAGACCTTAGGTTCAAATCGACCTCGCAGTCCAGTGCATTAACCTGCAGTGCCACATTAGGACTCCATAGCCATAATACTTAGGTCCTGTTATCTCATTTATTTATCTGAATAACTTTATAATATAGACATTATGATTATTACAATTTAAGGGATGAGG